CCTGATGGTTTAATTATACCGAATGTTTGGGGTATTTTGACGATATTCCGGTTATGGGAAAAAGTTGGTCAGAGTTATTGTGTAACACAAGATTAGTGCTCGATCGACTTAGAGACTGGAATCTGAAAATTAAGACTGATAAATGTCAGTTTGGAGTTACCGAATTAGTGTTGTTAGGACATCTTGTCAATGGAGATGGGATTCGACCTGACCCTAACAAAGTTGCTGCATTGAAAAAATTGCCGTACCCTACGAGTGTGAAGCAACTTCAATCGATAATGGGTTGTTACAACTATTTTTCAAGGTATATAAAGAACTATTCAACTCTGGCTGCGCCGTTGTATAAGTTGATTTCCAAGGAAAGAAAATTCAAGATGCTAAAGCAAGATCATCAAGCGTTAGATGAATTGAAAAGTGCCTTAATCGAGGAAACGATGCTAGTGCATTTCGACCCTGAATTGAAAAAGAAGATCACAGTTGATGCAAGTGATGTAGCTGTGGGAGGAATTTTGCTTCAAGCAGACCCTCATCAAGAAATTCCAAGTGAATTTGAATCAATCAATGATGTTCCAATAGACAAAGTCAAGCATTGGAAGCCGTTATACTTCTTTTCACAGAAGTTAGCAAAACACCAACAGAGTTACTCTGTGTCTGAAAAAGAGTGTTTAGCTGTGTTAGTAGCAATTAAGAAATTCAAACATTATTTGGATGGTTCAGAATTTTTAGTAGAGACAGATCATCATGCATTATGCCAATTGCCGAAATTAAAGTTTAAAAATCAACGAATGGAGAGATGGCAAATCATTCTATCGAGTTTTAAATACAAAGTTATTTACACCAAAGGTGACAAACATGGTCCTGATTGTTTGTCTAGGTATCAAACGGAATGGTCTCCGAAGCTGTTAGACCCTGAAGCCGACTTCATAGAAGATTTGTTTTGGATTAAATTCATCAATTTTGACGAAAGTGAAACTGATGCCGTGATTGCTGAATCTGAAATCAATGAAATCAAGTTACTTGATTCTCTGGTAAAAAGTCAGTTTAAAACTATTTACTATTACCAGACTGATGACAATTGGAATGAAAAGTTGAGAACTGCACAAGTCGAAGACATTGCAATCAGTAAGATAATTCTCAATTTAATTATTGATCCGAAATCAGAACTACACAAAAGTTATCTGATTATGAACAATTTGCTGTTCCGCA